ATCGAAAGCTCTCGAGGTGCTGGCCAGTTAGAATAGTTGGGATTATTGTAAATGTTGTTAAATATATTGTAGTTGGTGAATTGGTCAACTTGTATGTCCTACTAGAAAGTTAGAGCTCTGCTGTCTAGTGGGAGTGTAAATTGTGTGTATAACTGTAAAATAGCGCACGGTACCATAACTACTGACATGTACCATAACCACTGACATTGTGTAAAATTACTAACAATTGCTGTTTTATGTTATATGTATAATACCATAACTGTTACTAACTGATCTGTGACTTTAAAACTGTATTATAACCACTTACTAACTGTACCATAACCACTGATTGTAAAGATGAGGTTACTAGAATGTGATATAGTTGGTTAGTAAAAGTTTATTTATAGTACGGATTATTGTAGAGATGAAATTGTTGAAATGTTATGTGATCGGTTAGTTTATATGGATTAATAGCGTGGATAGTTGTATGGTTTGAATAATAGTTACATTGATAAGTGTATTGTCTTTGGTGTTTTTTTTTTTAATTTAATTTCGTGTGTGCGACGTCGTGATATTGTTGAGCATGTGAGGATCCTGTGTGTGTGTTTGGGCCTAGTGACTGCGCAATGTGTTGCTGGTGATAAGGAGATTGGTGTGACTGTTGAAACTGTGTGTATATTTGTACAGCTTTTTGAATCAGACGTTCTGTTGAAATGATCTTCTGATTCACTAGGCTGTTAGTCTTTTGTCTTGTATGTTTAAAAAAAAAAAAAAGTAGGGAGTAGCCTGTCCTGGTGGCTGCATGGCCTCCATGTAGCAGTCTTCACTTAAATTTAGTGCAGGGTGTACATGTGGCTGTAACTAGTAGGCTGGAATTCTATGATCAGTTTCTATATATTGACTGTTGGAAACTGATTGTTGAAAAACTGCCTTGGTGAATTAAACTGTGCCATATGGGAAACAATGTAGCCACATGGTGGTCAGAACTAAGGCCTTAATTACAACTGCTTTGGACATCCCCTCCCCCCCTGGCATCTGATTACCAACCCCCCAAACATCCTCCAGAGCCAGATTAGCCACGCCCCTATTCTTTTTCCCAAACTAAGAACTGGTATATAGTCAGTATTTGCACTCCCCCTGCTCTACTGTCCCCGCCTACCCACATACCTATCTGTTCCTGTGTTTCAAACTCTTGTATTTCTGTACTACCCCTCCCCCTAATCAATGATCAATGGTATCAAATGGTATATTGTTTTTTTTAGTTACTGGATGGGCCCCTCCCAGCTTTGTCCAAAATGTCCCCTTTTTACTAAACTACAAACTGAAATGTTTAATTTACCTTAGAACTAAAGATTTAATCAAGCCTAGTTATCAGGGTGGACATTGATTAAAATAAGTAATAATAAAATAGGACATAATTAATTAAAGTCTATTTGTTTCATTTGACTTTAGGGAGGCACTCTAGGCCACCTACTGGCCATCTTCGGGAGTTACATTGATAATAATACATTGTTTATAACAGATAGAAGTAGGATTGCTTACCCTATTTTAATATATTTATTGCTATAAGGTTTTATTTTATGTATAAATATATTAAAAGTTGAGTTTTCTTATTAGACCCATAAAGATTATTTTGATACAATTACCCTCTGGTGACACCTACTGGTAGGTTTTTGGTTTAACACTTTAAACAAAAACGTTTTTTCATCCACCAAATGCCGACTAATAAAATTAGCTCACCCCCTTACACCTATCTTACTACTCCTAGACTGGAACCTATTATTGAGCAGCCTTGCCGAAGTCCCATGTTAGATACTGCTTGAGTCAAATAGATTGTACACTCCTTTCAATCCTGAAGCCCCTGAAAACTTCCGAATGATAGACTCAGCATTTGTCAGCCAGGCCCAAGGTGATATTAAAAGGAAATTACAGAAATTAGAGGGATTTGTAGGGATGTCCATAATACAGCTAATGGAGATTGCAAATACAGTATATATGAATAGGGAGATGGAGGAAGAGCGTAAAATGAGGAAAAAGGCAGATATGCTAGCGGTAGCTATCTTAAGTGTAGAAAGACAGGGAAGTGAATAGAGGAGACGAGAATAGGCTGAGCAAGGGACTTTAAGTAGGAATTAATGTGCGTATTGTAGAAAGGAGGGACATTGGAAGAGTGAGTTTCCACAGAGAGAGCAGTATGAAGGTGATA